TGCACTCGTTAGAAAGACAATGTCCTTGCGAATCTTCTCATATAACTTTTGATCACATTTTGCTTCTAATTTCCTTTAGTAATAAATATTTTCACGAAAGATCGTGATGATCGCCGTCACGAAATCATAGACGCCATCAAACAAAAATTAATAACTAACAATTTAGATTTAAATTCTTTCCGAAAATTATATAAGAATATAGCCTGAAGTTGCAGCTTTGCAACGAAATTATAAAAGTTCACAAATTGTTTACGAAAATTGAGTAATTAATAATTTTTCACTGCCGGAGCCATTCTAGCCTTTTCTATCCCCTCTCTGTCATTGTCTGTCACGTGACCAGCTCTACGACGATCTCCTCGCCTATTCTATATTCCTATCACCTTCTTGATTTTTGAGCCCAAAATCATAGATGGTGCTGATCGCAGGCGGTAAAATAGTTATATATTCCAAAGTAGAAAATTAATAAATTTCCAAGTTTTTGTAATTAATTCCTGAACATTTGTAGCTGCACAGTAAAGTTGGAATTATAGGCAACATTCTTATACAATGTTTAATGTAATAATTAATACTTACATGAGCGATAGATTTTGTATTTACTGTAGTAAATAAGATTTCTATAGAAAAGTATTTTTCTTGTATAATATTCTTATTATTTTGTAATAAATATATACTCACATAAGAAAGCGTACAAAATAATTTTTTTGATTAAGAAATGTTATTTACAATTTTTTATTTAAAATATTGTCATAGACGAAAAATGAATATAAAATAAAACAGATTGAAAAAAAACTATTAATTGTACACCGGAATCGAACCCCGGTCTTCCCAGGTAGAAATTATCAACTATCGCCGTCATGCCACGACTCGACGTAAAAAATATTGGTAATAAATCTGTAATTAAAGGAACAATAAAACTTCAATTGTAAAATTTCAAAAACTATTGAATAGTTGCAGACATAGTGACATATTTTCTGAAATTGCATGACGATATCTACAGACTCGAAGGACTTGCACTCTCCTTGTTAGCCTAGACATCTATCTTAGAACTACTTAGATCTAAGTACGAAAATTTATGTTACACTTCCGAAATCGAACCGACAAATGATGTCTCCTCCGTCGCGTCGCTTCTTATATAGCCGCTGATCGGCCGAGTCCCCCAGCCTGATCGCAAATTTCCAAACTTTACCGATACCATTATTTATTATATTTCCGCTTTAATAGCCAATAATTTATTAATTTTTTCACTTTTACTATAAATATACGTTGCGAGCAATTTCTTAATAACAATATTTATTTGTTACAAACAATCAGTGTAATAATTTATAAACTTTTTGCAAATTGTACAAATACGTTTTAACACAAGTACGTCGTAAGTTCTAGTAATAGCCAATAATTTATTAATTTTTCCACTTTTATTATAAATTTATGTTGTGAACAATTTGCTATTAACATTATTAATTTGTTGCTAACGATAAGTATTATAATTTATAAACTTTATTTATACTTTTAGAATATAAATTTCCGTGATGCATTTATGTGAAATATTTTTATGCTTTATGCAATTTGTTAATAACAATTTCAATTTGTTATTAATGATAAATTTCATAATTTATACACTTTTTATAAATTCTAACTACAGTTGCACTTCCTTACGATAAATTTCCATGATATGTCCATGGTATGTCAATATATCTTTATTTCCTCTCTATTTTTGGTTAAAATGAAATATTACTGCGAAAAGCAAAAATATTACAAGGTTCACCATCACCTTAAAAATTGAGTGGCAGTTTATCATTTAACAACTCTATATTACAAAGTTATTTGTGTACCGAATAACGAAACTATCTGTCTTGGTTACGTATCATCGTGTTGTATCCATTTCCAATGTTCCCTTTTCCATTCCACCTCTGATTTCCTCATTAATAAAGGTGAATCGCAGCGGTCGGATGTCCAGTGCTGAAACAATTTCCTGTCTTGCTAAGATGTTTCATCCTCACGTGGATTATCAACGTTCTTTTGCAACAAACTAGTCTCGCCAGTCGTTTGACCGCACACGCGTTCCTACCTTTCGTCGTGTAATTGGTTTAAGAGGTTCGAGGAAGAATCATCCGGTCAGTAGATGCCAGAGGAAACCCTTTTTCTCCTTGCAGATGGTGTGCCACTTCTGATGGGAATGGTTCTGGATCACTGGCGCTAACTAGTTTGTCCCGTTAGGATTATGCTGTACCCTGTGTCGGATCACGGTCTTTGTAAAGGATATCGACAAATCGCGTTCGTTGCGGATTACTTTTGTCCTTATTATTTCCCTGTCTTTTCGATTCGTTTGATTCCCGTGATATTTTTTTCCACGACCTGATACAATTTTTCTTTTCCTTTTTCGCTTTAGTTAATTTTTTTCTATGTATTTCGTTTCAACGTTTCGACGATTCGTTTCGTTTTCTTGATCGCGACTGAGGGATGAAGTTCAATGCTATTTCTGGGTACTAGTTTCTCGCGTTCCTGTTACCTGATCTCTTCTTCGCCCTTCGATTAGGTTAGTTTTATATCTACGATGGTGTGTGGTTTAAGAGCGAATTCTTATGAATAAAGAGCGTGATTGATAAATGTAATATGCTAACGATAGTTAAACAGGTATAGTAACGTTTCTATCTTGATAAGAGCGTATATTAATTTTACTAAAAATAGCTGCATATTTTCAATAGGGACCAGATATTTTGACAGGTTTGGTATTTCTAGTGTCAAGTAACAAGTGACAGTCTGGAGTTAATTTTAAAAGCAAATCTTATGTTAATCACTTTCGAACATTTTATCCAGTTTTCATATGCAATAACGATTAATCATGGCTTTGGTATATTATTGCACGAGTAAACGCGTTTATTCGATTAAAAAGTGATTAATCCTCTATCTGGTTAATGAAAATGGTAACTCCTATCAGGAATACTTCGTATCCTTTCAATTAAGGATACGAAATACTTTTCTCTAATCTCATTTTAATGTTATTTTTATTAAAGACAAATAGTAGGAAAATTACCTGCCAGGCATATGTTGCTATCGAAGGAACAAATACTGTGGCATTCGCTGTCATTCGATTCCAACTCCTCTGACATTTCGCGGAATGATCTTTTTCTAACGATTTTTGCGCACGGTCTCCTCCTTTCGCGACATTTCTGCCAATCAACCGCGCGAATCTTGCTTGTCGCTGTCACAGAAATGCGCAATAGGAAAAGCAATTCTGACATTAATAATTATTGACGTAACTTCGCTCCGCTGCGAAGAAACGATTAAACGTAATTGATCTTATGCAAAGGTAACAGATAGTGAACTAATTAGTTTCGCGTTAATTGCAAAGATGTTTTGCTCCAGTAATTAAAACCGTGACGTGAACCCTCTGCCACAGACTGCGACAAACATTGTCGTAATTTTCAAAAAAACGGAACAAAAAATGGGACAAAATTTCCTCTCCATAGCCGCAATTCCGACTCGTAAATTTTTAACGAGGCAAAAGCATAAACTGGCGAAACAAGTCGTAAAATGGTAATCAATGTGAAAGATATAAAGTAAGCACGGGAATAAATAAGCGAAACGTGGGAATAATTTGAGCATAAAATAAGCAAATAAAATACACGCGCAAGGAAGGAAATGCGAATTAAGAAATAAACAAGAATATTAACCCTTTGCACTCGAGAGGTGCCTCTTATACGCCATTTAATCAGATTCTAACGATGGATATCAATTAATATATCAAATTTACAATTACCCAACGATGCGTGGAATAAGTAAAAGTCGAAGTAAAATAATTCTACGTCTTAATTTCTATATCATTTCTTATTTACCGTTTTGAAATTATCGTCTTCGAATGACTTTTTTCCTGTAAGGAAAAAATCGTCGAGTGCAAAGGGTTAACTTCAAGAAATTTTCATCCTCGGATGGAAGTAATTTTCTTTTTTAGCGAGAACGAGTGATCGAAGATTAAAGAGTCGGTATATAATATTAAAATTCAAGGAATCGTGATCTCACTCGCGGTTTCCGGCACGCTATCCGTTGTAGGCGGCCTGAGTCCAAGGCATTCAATATGGCGCGGATTTATGAGGTACTCTCTTTCTTCCAACGAAGGTTTTATGCATCCCAACACTAAATCCGCGTATGGAATACGTTTGTAAATTTTCCTAGTAAATTGCCTCGGTATTTTCTTCTTTTTCTTCTTCTTGCATTTCCAATACTTCACTCTCAGCACGATTTTAGGCGCAGCTTCTCCCGCTTCCTCTTCGTCGATGCAGTCGGTCGTTCCCTTCCTGCGTTTTCGTTTCTTCGCTTTTTTTCGCGTTTCCTTCGTCCCCTTTGTTCGTTCCTCCTTCCATTTCCGGTATTTTCGACAATCCGCTTTTCGTCTCCGATACATGCTTTATAAAGATGAATTCGGTATGGAACTTTCCAGCGATTCGATGTCTATTGTAATCGAGGATGGGCTGATGTATGAATTTTGTACATCTTTGTACGTGATTTGATTTTCGATCGGGGTTCGGTGTTCATGAATGCCCGGTTATGGTAAATTCATGTTGAACTTTTAGGAAGATTCCGTGACGATGATGTTAGACAGACCCATTGTGTCATACCTATGAATTTGTTGGAAGAACGTTTAATTTAATAAATTTTCGTCGTTTGTTTCTCGATCGAGATAGGTAATTATGTATTCTTGCCTATAGTTAACTTCGTATTATATTTCGCATCATTTTTCGATAGATCACTGGTCAAACATGGCAAAATTTTAAGTAAAAATGAATACCATTGTCGTTCGGTACTAAAGAGGTCGTGGAAATAGGTAAAATTATTGGTTAAATATCCGGTGCACGTTTCTGGCGAAAATGTAGGTTATGGATTGAACGAAGCTCGAGCTTAAAATGTTACAAATACGTCGACACACCTGCTGTCTCTGATTCTTACTGTCTCGAAATCGTTGAAACCCTATCAAAGTGTTGTCAAAAGGCGTATCTTGATTCGAAATGGATACGGACAAGAAGGATTTAAGAGCAAAGTCATGGTTTGAAATAGATCGCGACAAGAAGGTGGTATTCAAGGAGAAACTGAAGCAGCTCACGGAATGCAACGAGATCGTCTCCCCTGAAACAATAAATGCTATCGGTCGAGTAACCGATGATGTTCGAGCTGCTGATGATAACGCACCTAGCAGCGATGAACTCGACGAAGATCTCGAGGAGCAGTACAAAGACCTAAATCTGTATCTCGGCTTGCCAAATGACACGTATTCCTTGACCGAAATTAGGCCAGAGCTTCCATCCTGCGTGAGATATGGTGTGCGTGCAGGCATGACTCACATTAACATGCCAAAATTTTCGCCATTATCCAGAGGCCATCAGGTAAATGGAATACTTAGTGATCATTTTAGAATGAATCTCATCTCAAATAAAGCTATACACTTTCTGACATCATTTTCATAAGCGATCACAAAACGATAAACATTGCAGACTAGCTAGTTTCTGTCAAATTATATTCGCCCTTGAATCGGATATTTACCATCCATTACGTTAAAATTTCGATGATTATCGTTTCAACTATCAGACTTTATGATTATCGAACACTTCGCGAGAAATTGCCAACTGTGCAGACTATAATCACAGTGCTATCCTTGCGCAATCTTAATTGGCTTACCGATACCCTTTTGATCTTTCAACATAAACACTCTCGATCGAGTTTCTTCGTGAAATTTCGAAATCTCGCGCGAAACCCGCGTAGAATTCCTCTAATCGTACTTACATTATTCGTCTGCGAATATGGAATCATAATCGATTTGCAAGACTTCGAATCGTCTATGGATTCCATCGCTGTTACTCGTTATTCCGATGATAGGGTGGTGCAACAGCAATTGCGGCGTTTGCGACAACAACGGTGTACAAGTCCCGCTGCTGGAACGAGGCAGTTATCGATCAGATCATCGAGGACGGAGACACGTTTTACTGCGAATCGTATAAGGACATAAATACCGACGACCGACGATTGCTCTCTATTCTCGACTTGAAGAGAACGCTCTGTATCCAGAGCAAGCTCACGGTGAACGTGAGCATCGAGGATGCTGCTTACGCTGGTAAATTTCGGTCCACGGAACCGACTGAACTGCATCTGGTGAAGGCTTTGGACCTGTTCTTCAAACGCTACAGCGCTGCCATCTTGTCGTCGTGTGTGTTGAATGTGGCGATATGGAAGGACGCGAAATATTACAACCTGTTCGATGGTCAAGCCAGGAAGGATAACTGCGAGCCGGCAGCTGACGGGATCAGTGGAACGGCCAAGCTGTTCCTGGTCAAGGATCTGATAGGCCTGCTTTTCATTATCCTCGAGAAGAGCAACGTGAAGAACGAGCCTTTCGTCCTTTACGCGATCGCTATCAGCGGCGTGGATCACTACACCCAGCCAGTGGACTCGGAAAAGCTCGAGAGGGCCGATCACATACCGCAAAGGCGACCAAGTGGTTATAAAGTGCAGGAAAAGTACCGAGCAGTCGTTCAAGGATCCTATCACGTAACGCATCCGGCAATTCCAGCTCCACTTCGCAGTCGCACCTTTTTGGTCATAGCTCTGGCTGCTCTGGTTTACTCGCGGTTGGTAAACGCCAACAAGTGGACCAGCGCATTGATCGATCTAATATTCAACCAGTCAAATATATACTTCATCGATCTGGTTCGCGTCCTCGATAAGGATCTCCACGGCGAAGAGTTCGAACTCCGACTGGACGACATCATGGGAGACATTATTCTCGGAGCTTACTCCGCGAAGGTGAAGATTCGAACAAACATCGTTCCCGGCTATGGCCAGAAAAAGGGCAAACTTGGTATCGACGATGGTATACGCGAATTCTTCGAGTCTCAAGTGACCGGTCTGCTGGAGATCAAGAATTTCTTCTACGCCATTTGGAGACACGACGACACGTATTACTTCATGGACCCTTTTGCCTGTGACGAGGAAGGGTTTAGAAGCGGCACGGCTGAAATAGACGGCTCGTCGAAGCCTGGAGAGGCTGCTTGCGTAACTATGAACAGCTCGATTAACCAGGTAGTGGAGACCATCATGGAGAACACTGGAAGTAGAGACAGGGATCCATTCGTGATCCACGGGGTTCGAGTTTTGTACGTGAAGACTGGAACGATACCTGGTGGTCCTTTGGAGAAAGTGATCTATCGAGAGAAAGGTACGAATCGCAGACCCCAGCCTCCGCCGATGCCGACGATAAAAGACAGCGTCACGAAGATCGGCGATATGGTGGACACGAAGCCCAGGATACGACCGGATATGGACAAAATGAGAGACGTCGCGGTACAAGTACCCGACTTGATCACAGACGCCGAGGATTACATGATGGCCGAAGACGAACCGGTAACTTACGTCATCGTGCCACCCGAGGAGAAAGAGGAACCTGTGGAAGAGTTAGACGAAGAAGAAGAACCGGAAGAAGAAGGAGATACGGAAGTTGAAGAATTTACGGAAGACGAAGAGGAGGAAGAGAGGCCAGAAATAGAGGAAGAGAAAGAACCCGCGGAAGAACCGGTGGTGAGGATGGTGAAGGGTTACAAAGTGATAAATCCTCATCGTTTGGTTCTTCGAGGCTCGAAGAACTGCTTGAACGAAAGTTTCGACGAGTGGTCGAGAGGGAAGCAGGGATTAATAGCGGCTCTCTCAGCTTTGGCTTATAGAAGGCTGAAGGAGCCCACCAAGTGGCGAAACATGGACATCGATCAACTCATCGACGTGAGCAACAAGATTTTCGACGAAGTTATAGACTGGATCAGGAAAGGGCGACCTGTCATAAAAGAACCGCAGGAAGTGGTCGGAGAGGAGGAAGCAGAGGAGGAAGAGGAAGAGGAAGAAGAAGAAGGAGAAGTGGAGGAGAAGCTGTTACCCAAACCGAGTCACTTGGACATGACGATGTTGCCTGTTAGGCTGAAAATGGGCGACAACGACGTGTTCTTTAAGACGAAGATGAAAATCATTCAGGGCGAAGCGAATCCATTGGCAAACCTTGCAGAGGCTCTCGAGTGTTACTTCGATCGATATTCGGAATTGGTACTCGAGAACAAGAGGCTGATGTACGGTATTTGGAGGGAAGGACCGAATTACTTCGTATTTAATCCTTACGGCAGCGACGAAGAGGGTTGGCGTCTTCGGGACTATCCTGCTTCGTTCGCAGTGGTGGCTAACTTGAACGAACTGACCGATCTTCTCTACGGCATCCTGGAATTTAACGATCCTTCGTTCACGATTCACTTCGTAGAACTGGAGTCGATACAACCTGGTCTGTACGCCGCCGAGGTACAGATCATAATGCCAGAGGATATCGAGATTGAGCATTTTAAAACGAGATTTCTGCCCATTACGGACGAAGATCTAGAGAAGTTGGAGGCTGAATTAAGGGCTGCAGAGGAAGCAGCGAAAGTACCGGATATCGTCGACACGGAGGTTCTGGATGAGGAAGAGGGCGAAGAAGAGGAGGAAGAAGAAGGTAAAAGAGTTGTTAAGGTGCAGGAAGAAGAGGAAAAGCCTATAGTCGATCCATTGCTGGAGGTGAAGGAACAAGATCAACCTGACGCACCCTATCGTCTGAACCTGATCTTACTCACGTCCAATATGAAAGTTTTCAACGAGAACGAAGAAACCATTGATCAGGTACACGAACAAATAGCGTTGGAGAAATTAAAGTTCAATCATCCTCCTCCTTACGTCATGCCATCCAACAAGACGCTATTGAAGCTTCTGGAAGCGAAAAGAGCCAAAAGATCCATTCCATCCTTGGTGTCGAGGTTCTCCATAGACTCTAGATTAGACGTGAAGAAAAAGGGCGGCTTGTCTTCGGCTATTCTGGCCAGGTCGACGATGATCATGCCGTCAGGCATACTGGAGGATACCAAACCCTCAAAGATGATCAAGCTGTCACCGAAAAGATATTTGTACTCCAGAATTTTACCGATCTGTCTGATGCCTCTGAGAGCTATCAATGACATGTACATCCAAGACGAAGATCTCGCCAAGGCCATGCAGGAAGAAGATCGACGGAGAAAGGAAGAAGAGCAGAAGAGAGCCGAAGAATGCGTTCGATTGGCAGTACCGGAAGAACCTGTAGGGATTCGCATACGACCGACGTTGATACCGCTTGGGCCGATCATCAAGACGCCAACTCCCGAGAGGAGAACGGTTACCTGCATCGAGAAGAAAAGGCGGAAGTGCCTACTCTCCAAGGCTGACGAGGGTGACGCTCTGATGGAGAAGATTCTCTGCAATACAGAGGACTTATTGCTAGAATTGTTCTTCCCCGACTTCAAAGCGTTAGAAAAGGTTCGTATCTCGAAACACTTTAATGCAAACCTCGCATTGAGATTGCTATACGCGATTCTTTCGTGAGACAGCCCCTGGAACCGAAAAGCACGGAGTCAAAGACTAAGGAAATTGCGGAAATTGAAACGTCCACCATTAGAAGGAGCACCACGGGTACCCAAAAGAAGAAGACCTTGCAAAATTCTGTCGGCTTAAAAGTGAGATTGATAAACAGATTAATCTAAGCGAACTAGACCCATTGATCCAAGGTTTAAACGGTAAATCACTTCCTATTGATTTTCTTCTTTAAATCTAAGGTTAACGACGATGGAATCCGGATACTTCGCGGTACCATGTGCTTCGAAAACCGAGCCAGTGTCGAAGACTGCCATTTTAAATCCTGCTTCTTCAGTGCCTTACTGTGCATCCTAGTGAAGATTAGGTTAGACCCGGATCGCTTCTCCGCGAAGATGCTAGACAAGCTAATAATGCTTGGGGACAAGATTTATCAGCGAACAGGGAAACTGCGATACAAGCCGTATCGGTGGTTCCATCGTATCGAGATTCTCGATACGATTTACAACGTGATCACGAAGCAGGCTGTCTACGCTGATCCGGAAAATTGCGACGACGACGAGCTGGAGTTCGTGGTGGACAATTTCTGCGAGAAAAATAAAACCGGGATCATCGTGTTCTGCAATTGCTCGTACGCCTTTTGGACAGCGAACGACCGATACTATCTGTTCGATCCGTATCCCTGCGACGAGAGAGGAAACGCTTCGGAAGAAGGTTATTCCAGCTTCATGGAGTTTTGCGACCTGAGCTCCATGATCGAGAAGGTCGAGGCTAATGTCGGTGAAAATACGAAGAAGCCGTATCGAATTTACACCATATGCATAGCTCACATGGAGACGAGGAGGGTGAAGAAGAAACGAAGGAAGAAGATAGTTCGATGCGTGGAGAAGCAAGTGGAAGAGGTCCATGCCGAAGAGGTGGCGGAAGTAGAGCTCTCCACCGAGTCGGAGGTGTCTCTGATCGAGATGGCCGATTGGGTGAAATGGGAATCGAAGACTAGTCTCGTTTATGACATGACGATCCCTGGTTTTGCTCCTATCGAACATTACAACGCTTCGATATTCGACGTGATTGTCTTGGAGAACGACATCACCTCTCCGCTACTGCCACAGTTCAAGAAGTCTTCGTTGAGAGAATCGGAAAACGTGGATGACGAATTCGAGGCGGTAAAGCTGTTGGTCAGAAAGAGAGTCTATGACAGGAAGTTCAAACCTCATACATCTGTCACGACACCGTTGGATCTTTGCATCATGGCCTGGTCTTTCATCCACGATCCCATCACCTGGTCTGTTAGGACTGTAAGAGGATTGTTCGAGACAAGTGTCGATTACGCCTTTGACAGCATACTGGCTACCGAGGACTCCACGGTCAGTGATATGACCGATGGCCTGCTACCCGAATTCGAGATAGCCAACTACGTATTCCGAGTGGTGCCCGTACCTCTGCATTATGGGACTCTGTACAGCACGGAAGGCTGGAACCTGTCCATGTCCTTGCAGAAGGTGTTCGAGACACCTAGCTATACCGGAGCTATTATAGTCTGCGGCGACTCTCATATCGGTGTTCTGAAAAAGGATGAGAACCATTTTGCCTGGTGGACAGTCAGAAGGACGAAAAACCTGAGAATAGTTACCTCTACGGACATGAAGGAGTTTTTGAAGCTGATCGTGCAAGAAATCGACGAGCCTGAGGAGGCGGTGTTCGCGATGAGAGTAATCACGGTGTCTTACGCTCAGAAAGTCGATCCGGACTGTTGCGACACGAAAGGTCTCCACGAATCGGTCGTGCCGATCACTTCGTTGGCAGAAATTCATAGGATGCCAGCGAAACCTTACGATCTCGAAGCGATCTTCAGGCCTACAGTGCCAGAGTCGAATAAACCGATCTTCGTGCAAGGAACGGTTGCTCTGAACGACAGAGACGTCGTGATTGAACCTAGAGTCAGGAGATGTTACTTCGTTGCCGTTTTGGCGGTGATGGTGAAGAGAGATATCATTCAAAGTCCGATGCCAGGGATGATAGACAAGGTGATCGAGGTCGCTGAATCGGTCTACAGGGAATTCTCGGAGCCCAAATTTCACATGGAGCACATTTTACGTAATGTCACTGTGATGAACAGGATCTTCGACTTCCGTGACTGTGCATCTACGTTGGTGACGTTGACAGTAAATCCTCGAACTTCGAGAACTGATTTCTATACCCAGGTTAGCAGTTACAGGCCCTGTTACATAGTGTTACGTTAGTTACAGGTTAATTAATGGACACGGTGAAAATAATCTTCGTTCTTGACGATCGCAGGTAAGGAAGCATTTGAGGAAGTACTTTAAAACCAACGGGAGCGGAATTTTGCATTTCTCCAATTGCTGTTACGGTTTCTGGTATTCGAGAGCCACGAATGCGTACTACTATTTAGACCCTTACCAATGCAATGAGAAAGGAAGGAAAGTTTCGAACGGTGGTAAAGCTTGCCTGTGCATTTTTCCCACCGTTTGCTTGATGGTGAGACACATGTGCTTGAATCAGTTCGAAGAAACCACAGGCTTCTTCATCCATCGCCTTCACGTGGACTCGGTGAACGTACCTCCGTTCAAAACGTTCAAGGAGGACCCCATGTGGTTGTACCTGGATTACCACTGGAACTTCAGACACGCTCCAGATATCGTGAAATCGGGAGCCAAGAAGAAGAAGCAAGTCGAGGAACAGGAGACGAAGAGTGTCAAGCAATTCTGGAACAACTACGCTGTCGAGGTGTCCAATCTCATCTACTCGGTCTGGGGTACCATTGGCTCATACGATTGCAGATTCGGTGATCGAGCTGGAAAGAATCAGCCAGCCATTTGCGTAGCCGTGCTAGCCATGCAGTACCTGAGTCATCCATCAAGATGGGGTCCAGCCATCCTAGACTCGGCTGTGATTTGCGGAGACTCTTATTACACGGAAAGTCTGAGAAGTTCCATCCAGAAGTGCGTCAAACACTTCAACAGGTTCAATCTTCAAACCAGCTTCACGATATTTCCCTATTTATGGACGATCGATTTTAAAGACAGTATTTGCGGAGTTTTATACGGTGCTCGAAACAGAATGACTCTGGCGGCTGCGCTGATGAAGTCTTTCGAAGAGTCACCAAACGTCGTCATAGAGTGCAGCAAGGTGACCTTAGCAGCCTTGGCAGCCAAAGACGGATACTACGTCGCTGACCCCTGTTGGGTCGGGCCACCCCTGTTCTACAAGGACCACGGGGCTATCTACGTTCTACGTTGCAGAAACATGAATTCTCTGGTTTATGCGGTGATAAAGATGCTGAACACCAATCAGAGACTCGACTTCCGTTTGACTCCTGTCGCGTTCACGTTCGAACAAGAAGACTTCAATTTCACGGATGGAAAGAAACGGGAAGCGAAGAGAAAGGTGTTCCTCGAGCCACTTAGAACCGCTCCAGGCAAAGCCAGTGATCCTGGTGCGCCTATACCGGGTGCTCACACGACTCCGGACGAAGCTTCTTATCTGATGTATCGCAAGAATCTAGCTATGGGCATACGGAGAGGTCACGAGCTGGAGAATCCAGAGATACCTTCCGTAGAGCCGGTATTGGAGGAAGAGAACATGATGAGTACGCTGATCAGTACCACGTGGCACTTGAATCTGGGCCAGGCTGCTCCCTTGGAGAAAACTGTACCCGTGTTCGATCCTCGGCTGGTCGAACATGTGCCGGAAGAGTGCGAGACACGGGTTGTCGGCTCGTTCGAGCCTACTAGTCACGAGCCAATGTCTATCACGGACTTACTGGCAGCCTGTGACGATTATCCACGAGTCGTCGATTTCGCCGGAGATGCTGTTCCACTGAAGAGACCGATAGAGTGTTCCGCCCCGCGAAGCTTCCTCAGTGATTCTGCGCGTCGAAAGTTCCGCACTCGTACGGCGGATATGGCACAAGAGGTCTATAAAACGTACAAACACCGACTTCCAAGAATGGTCAAGCAGGAGATGATTGCAAATGACAGTAAAACTGCAGCTGAAGAGACGGATATTCATCCTATTACGGAGGAAGAGACAGAGGTGAAGCAGAACTCTCCTGACACAGGGGCAGAGACGGAAGAGGATACATTTACAGAAACGGAAGCTACTGATGAAACTGCAGACGAAGATTAAACAATATTTATAAGGAAGAAATATTCTTTAGATGATTATCTTCTGGGCACTTTATTCGTAATGTTAGGAAGGATCGTCTTTAGTCTTGATGAAAATTGCAAGTAGTCCCGACTCCTTTTGGCTATACTCTCTTTGGTATTGACTTTTTGATGTACAAGTAGTTGAATTTCGTTGTCTTTGTATAGTCTAATATTTATTCGATAAATTGAACGGTTTGAACGTTAGTTCCTCTTCGTGTTTTGCTTGGTCTATGTCGGTATTTATGCATGGTACACGCAGCATTTTCCAATTAAAGATACATTTCGTAATGAATATCGACGAGTGTTTTCATAGTGCATATCTATACAAAAAGAGTTATCGTAAAAAGTTCACTGTGATGTAATTAATATTCAATACTGATGTAACGATGCATGTTTATTCCGAATGTTCTTGCGCAACATATACACTTTTGTAACATAAACCAGTGACGACTGAACGGAAATTACAATATTTCATCTTTGTACGAGATATAATAAACGTGTGATAAGATTATTCATCTCGGTGTTTGTTCTCATTTCGTTCAATCGAAGACGTGCTGCGACTCGGATCTATGTTTTGACTTGCAGCGATTCAAATGTTCACAGAGCTTGTGTATTTAGAGAGGGCAAAATAATTGGTTGGAATTTTACATATTTGATTTTCATAATGACAAGACACAATACGCTCTGACTACTATTTTTATAGTAGTATGAATATGCATTGGAGTCCTTGAACCCTTATCTTCCGTCGACATGGAGCTGTTTACCTTAGGCTCAGACCAATTAGGGTGGTCTACTTTAGGTTCCAAGAACCTGTCAACGAAGTTAAAGTCTCTTAATCTCGGGAATAACCTTTTTGGATCCTACCAACCGGACGTTCCGGAATTCACAGTCAGTTTTAATAAAAAGACACGTTTGTCCTCGAGATAAGAATGCATTTTTTTTGTAACCTGACCATATACGAATTAAGCAGGCGAACGGATTGATCGAATCGTGATTTATTTGACAAAAACGTACAAATTAGTAAGAAAGTTCAATGGCGGACGGCAATTAACGTTAAAATTAAATCTTTACAGCATAATGATACGTAAGTAACGAATATTATTAAAAAGAACATATTCTATCTGCGATGATGACACATCTTTAAGCTTAGAATGATACAAATTTCGAAGTGCTTTAGCAACGATGAAATACAACTAATTATCCTAAGAAATGGTTCAAATATTTGTAATTATTAAACAATATTGAAACACGCGATACTTCTCGTATAATGATTCCTCGCGTCTGATGATCGTTAATATATAATTGTTAGCGACAGAAAATGAAATTAACGCAATATATATATATATATATATATATCATTCAAGCATACGAAAATCCACATATACAAACACAGTGTACACCGTTTTAAAGCAGCTTGGTTCGTTTTCTTTGATATGATTCAAAATGACACCGACACATCGGATTACTATTGACTCCAATTATATTTCGTACATCGTATAGAAAATGTAAAATATCGCGCATTCTAAATCAACGGAGAAATGTATCGAGTACAAATCATCAACCACAGCTATCAACGTTTACTTTTATATCTTTGCTCTGTCTTAACTTTCGTAAAATTCGATAGATTCGTTAGCATCTTGTACGTATTCACAGCAGCTTATAGGAAGCGAACTTTATCAAGCGACTTTCAAATGTACGATACAAATATTACATTTAGATTACATTTAAATGCGCGATAACAATATTAACAAGAAGATTTAAGTACGTGGAATCTGATTTTCCTTCGTGTTCAACGCGCCATCCTTCGAGAGTTCGATTCAATCGCCAAAGAAACTTACGTGTCGCGGAAAATATCGAATTAACAATTTCAAAACATTCGTCGAATTACGTATGTTCCAATGTAATTGCTCCATTTTTTAAATAAACGCGCTTTTTAAATTGTCGAACTATTTATATCTCAATTAACGATAATCGAAGATCATTGTAATTTAATCTACGATTAATTCGAAACGTTCTCGAGTTTGTCAGTGACAAATGGTGTTGTCGTTTGCTCGTTTTCCACATCCTCGTTTGCATTTCATTCAACGAATCTCGATTTTTTTGCCGATTTCCAAGTAAATTCAGCACGAAAGAAATAATCAGACTGTCATCGCGTTCGTAATAATACATCGCGTTGGCCATTTTGTTTCCGCACACGAGGTATTCCATTTTCCTTTCCCAGCTTTGAACGTTAGATCTTGCTCGATCCTGGACAATGGACGAGTATCAAAAGGCAAACAGTATAACACTAATGGCTATGGTAACGAAATTTTACATATTCGCGTTCCGTTGCGCAGAATCATAGTGGATTAACCCCAGGTGAACTCGTGGCCTCCATGGTATAAAATTCAAACGATTCTTTGAGTTACACGAAGTCACTAGACACGACAAAAGTAACTAGAAGTAAGTACAAAAGACAATGTCGCAATTTCGATTATCACAAGTACCGTGTATAGTTAATATCCTTTGATTTTCGAAAATTCTCAATGATCCCCCGTAATCTCTTATAAAGTTTCCAAAAGCGTAATTTTTTTTTTTCCTATATGTACGCAAAATTGTTCAGAAATTGCAATCTTTTCTGTGAATCGTCGAACACTATTCCGATTGATAGACAATTATGTAAATAAATCCTTTTCAATTTTCATATCTTCATACGTATACAAATTTAAAATTATCTAAAGTAACCTAAGAAATTAATTTGTAAAAAAAAAAAAAGAAAAAAGAAACAAAAAAGAAAAGTACTAAAACTGTAAGTAGATCGTTTGATCCTTTTCAGTCGAATGCAACCGTACGGCGAAGCTTGTTTCTAGCGATCTGTCAAACGCAATTGCGATTCTTAAGTAGAACAGTCGATGCGATATACCTATAATTTTCCACGCTGGAAGACTACCGTACATTCGCATTATACTACGAATAAGTTAAAAATGCTAAATTTCTAAACGTGAGACAAAACGATTTTCCATCTTTAGATCATAAGCTGAAAAGGATCGAAGTAACGCGCCTGTTAATGACAACAAAAGAAAAACACGAACGTTTGATTGTTTCGTAAGGAGGTTTCTTCACGTGGTGACGTAGAAGAGTTCTATTCGCTAGGTTTCTGCTGCTCCTCTGTCGCTGGCTTCGTGTACAGAATCTCGGCATACTCTGTTTTGTCCTCGTTCAAACGTCGAGAAGGAACACCCTGTTGTTGCTGTGTCAAGTCCAATTCCGCATAAACAATTCCTCCTTCACCCGTGGAAGGATTGGGTTTATTTTCTTGGCCACCTGGCACAGATGTTTGGAGCTGTGAAATTTAAACGATCGTGTGAATTTTATTCAAATTTGTCAAAGAATTTGCCAAAATTTGCGGAAACTTTGATCGATCTAAATCTGCCAAAAATATTAACGTTAATATCGATATCGATGCAAGAATATAATACCGATATTTCGACATCCGAGAATATTATCGTAATTTTCTTATTATATAAAATATTTAAAATTCCGATGGAACGTTCCATCGCAGTAACGGAAGATGAAGCTCCGAATAATTTCCATTCGAAATAGCAAATAGTCGGATCTGAAATCTTCGAAAGTTTCAAGTTTCAACGATTCATCTAGAATTCCTTCGATCTCTTAAGAGATGCAGGTTAAATTGAGTATGTTTTCAAAATCAGACCGTGATGTGAATTAAATGTTAGCGATGGACCGGATGATAGCGTTAAATTTGAATATGTAAAAGAAGCGAACGAAACCATTCGATTCCTCGAATGATCGAGGCGAATAGGAAAAATTCATAAGACAGACGTTTAGATCGAATGACTATGAATATATGTATAATGTCGCACGATTTTTTCGGGACGAAATTATCCGAAAATAAACACGACTACCTTTTCGTCATCGACTGTAACGACAGTCCTCATGGTGTCTGTGTCAGCTCCAGACACTTTGTCCTTGTTGCGTCTGAACAGGCGAGACAGGCTAATCCTCGACTTCCGCTCTCCTCGAGATCCATCGACTTCCGTTCTGGAGTAGCGGCCGGCACTTTCCGTGTCGCTTCTAATTAATACAATTCATTCTAAAGTTTACCTAATTTTCACATTTACCGCATCGTTCGCCTTGTTCTTAAGCAACGAAACACATTTCTCTTTTCGAACGATCATCATCACAATAAACAGGACGCACACGAAATTCGACACGATGCGACAGAATACATTCCACGATCGAGTAAAATTATGCAAACTCTAATTACATAGTCTACAATGGGTAAGATTCGATGTTCTCTTTCGATACGATTTTAGTTACAAATTTAAGTTACAAATGGAAATGAATCATACTTCGTTTTATACGTTCTTCGGTCTAAAATGACGCGGCAAATCGATAGAAAAATACGCTCAGTTCGATCATGCGATTATGAAGTAGTGTTATTAATTATTGATTGTGCGAAACGAATCGATGGACGGGTTTTTCATATCGAAAGAACGTAGCTGAATTCAGCGAGAAAAAAGTATTATGCGTTTCACAATGTACACGAAGAGATTACGATGCATCTTTTTCTCTCGCGACTTGATTTACAAGGTGTTAATGACTAAACCCAAATGAGAATTACACGCGTATATAACCGGGTTCCATCTGAGTTCTGAGTTTCGAAGAGAAGCCATCTATCACGCGTGAATCGAATTCAAATTTGGCCTGCTGTGCGATAAGATAATTTTAATTTACAATTTCCGAAATATTCGCATCTCGATAGAATTGACGTTTGACAGGCTACGGAAATATTGGCGAAATTAGCAAAATCGCAATATCGTTAGTGTCGCATAAGTTCGCCGAAGTTCTGGAACGGCAATAGGTAATGTAATTGATGAAAAACAAATTCGCTTATCTAATCTGGCGAAGCAACATAGCCGTGATTCTACCATATAATTATCGCAATTAAGCAATTTTCAAGTTAAGAGAATTACGCCT